AGAATTGTCACAATTTCAGTAACTTTAGCGACGTTAAGCTTCGGTAAGTATTTTTTTTAATAAATGTATTTTGTAATACGATTCTTAAATAAATGAAAATTTTAAAGTGTGATTAGAAAAAACATAATTACGTATACGTAACTTCATTTCATATTTTAATAGCATCAATGACGTCGCCAGGATTTCATTAGGAAGGGATGTACAATGAAAACTCCAGCCTTTGTAATGTTAGCGGTTTCAGTGTACTTAGTAATACTTACTGCATAAAGTCTAATGCGGTCCATAACAGCTTATATAGGTACGTGACAAGCGATAAGTGTATAAATAAAAGAACCTATTAACACTAAATATAGATACATAGAGTATTTAATAGCACATTATATATTTAATGAAATAAAAGATTTCTTTGAAGTAGGTACTACTGCCTTACCTTATAATGTATAACTTCAGAGGCAGTCTTAAAACTAGGTTATTAGTTCCACCTAGGGCACATCTAGGTAGGTTTTTCATGGTGAATGGAAAGGGGAGAGAGATCGCTTATCCCCTTTTATTGGAGCAGTGGGCATAGTTGGCAGCCATTCTTGAGTCTGCCCGCTAGAGGGCACTAAAGTTGCCGTCCTGAACGCGTTGCATGACAAACTCTGGAGACTCAAGACAGAGATCGAGAGTGAGAAATACTAAATAATATCTCACTCTCGATTCATATCTTGAGTTCTACATAATAGGTATGTTGGGCTTTACCAGGGTAGTTTTTACCAGCAACGCTTTCTCTACATCAATTTTTTTCTCGAGTCGAGAAAAGTGACGTATGTGTGTAGGAGTTCGTAAGTGGCTAAATTATTTTAAGCTGTATGTGCTCGTAACCTGTGTCAAGATTATGCTTGCCACCTTAGAATTTACATATAATTGTTTATGGTCTGAAACAATAATGAGAACAATTTTTATTTATATAGCTAGTAACAACCAACCAGTAAATAATTTAAAAGAATTTTAACAATGACTCGATTTCTTTTAGTTATATAAATGACCATTACTGAATGCCTGGAATTAAGTATTTTTTATTATTTCATTAAAAAAATAACAGCTATCCGATACCTAGGTTTTATTTATTACTTGTTTTTTAAAATGTAAAACTACCTATATCCCACTTGGGCCTCAAGTCTGATAATTAACAATTCTTTTGATAATATATTGACAGTGTGTCAATAGACGAATATTGTAACATAATACAATTATTTGTTTATTGTAATATATTAATAATAAAATATATGCTATGATACAATTGTTACAGAGTTTATGTGTTATTATATTAATTATATCAATAACATGTAGATTATTAAATCATAAATAGGTCATTCTTCGTGAAAAATGACAAAAAGTCCACTTTGTCGTGACACTCTGAGATGGGACTCGATCCCACGACCTTTTGCAATCCGTACGACTGCTCTAACCTCTGAGCTACCTAAAATTGCGAAAGGTTGTAGGTTTGAATCCCATCTCAGAGTGCCAGGGACAAATTAGACTTTTTAAACATTTTCATTATAATGCAGAGCTAACTTTCCCCAAGGACAATTTACACCGAAATACGCGAATGTATTAATGGCAGCGCTTAAAGTTAACTTCAGAAGCAGACAAAAGTCCACACTGAACTAGATTTAAAAAAAGTGATGTCCAATATAAGAAGCCTTGCAAGTCCCGTCGTATCCCTGGCCAGTCAGTGGTGTGCGTGTGCAACGCCACCTACTGTGATGAGTTTGTCAAGGAGATACCTACTAGAGGAACATACATCACCTACACATCTTCCGAGGTAAGAGGTGATATACTAAAATGTGTTATTTCAAAGTACACATGTAGGTAATGTATGCAAATGGGTGAGTGTGTGAAAAAAGTCCACTTCTTATCTTGTTTCTATCCAGGGGTTTAAACTAATGATAATACAATAAAAAAATGGGTTACTTGCATTCAAAAAGTGTCACTTTAAAACGATGCTAATTAGTATACCTGAGCACAGTCTGGCGAAAGCGTTGATTGTGTGCTTTTATATAATCATTTTAAAAATGGCATCCTGTGTAATGCGATACTATAGAAACTACATAAGTAAGTCGTCTAAAGATCATTACATTTCATTCTACATTTTTAATTGATTTGCATTTTCATCAGAAAAATAAATATGTGTCGTAATAAGAAAGAGTAAATATTCCGGTTACAAATTTTGAAAGATATTTGTCAAAGATTATGTAAGTAATAAAACGGGCAATTCGACTTTAGTGCCTACGCTCTATCTTATACATATTTTAAAATCTATCTATATGAGACTGAAACTCCGGGATTTGAATTCGGAGCATTGAAACCTAACTCCAGAGTTAAAAAATACTCCGATTCCGATTTCGATCGAAGCACTCGTGTTATTATACATATGATATATCAATGTCATATGTATAATAAGCTTCATTATTTATACACTGGCAATAAATATTTACACTAACGACTAGGAGAAATAATAATGTTAGACATCAACATTTTTAAGTTGAATTGTATTATCTAAGTCTTTAACTCGTTTAAGTAAAAGTAGGCATTAAACATGCATTAAATCATTGTCGTCTGGTCTGTGACATGTCCAATTACAGTCTATGAATAATCGGAGAGTATCGTACCATGTCCGTGTGTATATGCGGGGGACAATTTTTGATATCGTATTAGTATTGGCATGTCTTATCTACCCTTTTTTATTGTAATATCATTAAACCCAAATTGAACAACATGAAGTCCCTCACACAAACTGATTACGCGAATCTCTACACTGCGCCATCAAGGGTATTATTATCCTTATATTATTACGCAGCATAGGGATATTATGATTATACTTAATATCAGCGAGACCTTTTACAAAACAGCGTTGTTTTGCTAACTAACTAAAGGTTATTTATGTAATAGATCGAGCAATTAATAGTGACACATAAATACACTGCTTTTGACGATATCTATATAAAACAATTTTCCGCCGAGAGATAAGGCATACTATCGTATTATTTTCATTTTCCGACTATAATTTCAGGCTGGTTCGAGATTTTCAAAACTGTCCACAATCTTCTGTATATAGGAAAACCTGGTCAGTATAATTTCCGAAGAGAGGTTGAAGCTAAGGTATTTCAAATGTTCCAAACATCCAGGGCCCTAATTGTACTGGCGTTTCAATGTAAACTGTTTTTAAATTATATGTTACATACGATCATTTAAAAAGACATTGACACTAATTAATATTGGGCTTCGGGCAGAATTGAGTCCCAGGAACTGCCATTTGAAATGTATATATAAAAAATAGTTAACTATAGTGTCCTTTCTCCAGATACCGATGCTACAACTCTTCTTCTTGATCTTGGCTATAAGTATCAGGTGGTGGAAGGATTCGGAGGGGCCGTCACAGATGCAGCCTCCATTAATTGGATGAACCTTACCGACTACCAGATGAAGAAAAATCTCATTGAGTAAGTAATGTGTGGATTGCAATAACGCTTAGCGAGTACATATTTACTCCTTAGTTCGCTTCGATGTGTTAAGGACAATTCCTTCTCTGATAATAAGATAAATAGCACCCGAATATTATTTGAAGGACACAGGCCTTGCCTATCGACGATTCGAATAGGAAGAACAGGCTATAACTCGCTATGGGTATTAACGACTTCAGATGCAGCCGGGACCACGGATAAGCGTGCCTTCCAAAGCATGGAGGGATTCGAGATAATAATATTTAATTTGTGGTTGCTAATGATTGACTTTTGCGAAAGTTAGCTCTTTATTGTTGTTATCGACGAAGAGGGTGACGAGGAATGGTGTGGGCACAGGTGCGAAAATAAACAATTTATCTTCTCAAAACTATATTGTCCACAAAACAAATATTCTCGTCAAAGCACGTGACAATCTATAGTAAATCAGACCATATGTCAATACAAAAACAAAATTAAATAAAAATCAAATATATATAAAAAAAACTATAAAAACAAAGACAACGTAGGTATAAAAATAGGTCGGTTCAGGTGACGATCCTCAACAATTGTCTTTTTATAGAAAAATAATAAAATTTTCTACAATACATAATTTGTTGCTCGTAGCTCTTACTTTAGCAAAGAAGGCATATGTTATAATATGTTACGGGTTCCCATTGGCGGCTGTGACTTCTCTACCCACATGTATACATATAACGAGATGCCCAGAGGTGACATTACTCTTAGCAACTTCTCTTTGGCGTACAAAGATTATAATTACAAAGTATGGATTTTTCATAGCGCTTAGTACATTCAGAAATTTCTTCCAAAAGAAAGTTGTCGTTGAATTCTACGAATTCTGAGTACCCAACATTACACATTATACACTATTATATTACCGCCGATAAATCTTTCGATGGTTTCATTGAAATTAGTTTTATGTATGTATATGTTAGTCCATCATAGATGTCCCGCATATCTTACGAGCTAGGAAAAACTTTTTTAAAAGATTTATTTACCTACCTAGAATAACATAATCAGATACTTATTTAATCTTACATGATAATGATATTATAAATGTGACAAAAAGAATTAGAATATGAACACGAAACTGGACCCTATGCGGATTGGAGGGTATTAAGGACTGCAAATACTGCCGGAACTGCTCGAGATAATATTTTTTTTGGTCACCCATCCCGTGACCGACCCTTGCGAAAGTTGCTTAACGACAACGATCGCGGGCCGCGGCTTTTATCCACCAAGAAAAGAATGAATATTGAAACGACGGCTGATCAGAAAGCTATCTTTGTGTAAAACAGCGACAAGTAACAAGCGTTAGAAAAAAATGTCTGTCCTATTGTGTCTAGGGTAGCTCAATGGTAAGAGCGGTCGCTTGGATCGCTAAAGGTTGTGGATTTGTGTCCTATCTCGGTATATCTGGGGCTAGTAGATTTTTAAGCATTTCTTTGGATGTTAACAAAGTGAAGTTAATTATAGATACCGATGATCAAAGCAATAATGAATGCTGCTGTGGAGCCGGTGCACATATTAGCCAGCACATGGACGCCTCCTCTCTGGATGACGACTAACCAAATGTACATTGGGAAGAACGAGCTGAAGAAGGAATACTACCAGACATATGCTGACTATCATCTAAAGTAAGATCTTTAATGTATTTAGTAATACTTTCTTATACAAGTGTGCATCTCAGATAGATAAGATATAAATATTTCATCCATAATTACATCAGATGTTGCTATCTCTGAGGTTTCAGATTCTATTTCTGGTCGGCTCAATTTGGAAATAATCTCGGGTTTGAGTGTAGTTTCAGATTTGCTTATTATTTTGGTTTATTTACAAAATGTTTAATTACATGGTCGAATTAAAGAGTATAAGATGTAATGGCAACTATTATAAGTACAGACTGTGATACAAAATAGGAATGAAAGTGTTTTCAATGTATTATTATAATGACTCCATGATTATTTAGAGAAATCCGTTATTAATTTTAGATTCACCAATTTGGGGCATCACGACGACTAACGAACCCATAAATGCCATGATGGATTTCTTTAAATTTATCGGTCTCGGATGGTCTCCTTTGAAACAGGTACTGCTTATTGTATTTACAAATAACATTTATGTTTAGAGATTAATTTAACTTTTCGTCTTGATTACACGCTGCACCCTTACTCTCGAACATTGCAAATGCGCCGTTTCGTACTCTTGCTTGGTTATACTAGCACTAGATAATGCTAGTAAACCAATCAAGAATCACTAGATAATGCGGGGCCGCACAATTGCAATGTCGATCGATCGTGATTGCGTTAAAGTGGCTGGTATCGTTAATCTTGCTGTTTTTGTTTTATTTTTCTGTTCTCTTTTTGGTCGCGTTTGACTTTTTTGTACAAACTAGATAATTAGCTGTTAGTCTAATAGTATGCATATGTATCGACTATGATCCACGTTTAATGTAGTATTTCGCAAGTGAAAGAATTTTGAAATCGGCCTAGAGCCTATTCGATGCCAGCAAATAAACAAATCCTTTGTCTTTACAATATTAGTATAAATAAATGAGGCTTTATATGATCTTTATAACACTTTTGTTACATTCTCAGCCAGTTGCTCAAACGCCCATTAAATTTTTCATTAGTTTAAAGTGACATTACCCATACAAATTTGACATTAATTAGAGCTTAAAGGCGTTATTAAACCCTAATGGACGTTTGTGCAACTCTGACATTTATTATAATTTATTTATTTAGTGTAGTTTTAGGGTAAATGGATAGCAGAAAACTTGGGTCCTACGATGAGACTCTCCTCTTTCCCTGATTTGAAGATACTTGCTCTCGATGATCAGAGGGCTTCTCTACCTTGGTGGTTTAATGCGGTAAGTTTCTGAAACTGAAAGATGATAGGCATCAGCAGCGTAATACTTTGAAAAAAAATCCAACAGCATGTAAAATTATACAAAACTGGCAAATTTCTCCACTTCATTTTTATATTAATGCATTGAGAGTAGAGTTCAAAATCAATTGCAAGACATTATAACATTTTGGTAAACTTAAGTCTGCTTAATTGCCGTTCATTGACATTTGTTTATACAAGGCCAACTTTGTTAGTATAAAACGTGGTCTAACTTTAGTACCAAGGTTAAACAATTATCTGAATATAATAACGCTTCAACTTGATGTCACTCTTAATTTGCATTAGGGGACCAATGATTTAATTAAACACGGGACTAACTTTAATCCACGTTTTATGCTGAGAACCAGTATAACCAGTGGTCGGAATTAGGTAGAGTTATTCATGTACTTACACTGATTTCATACAGCGAAAGAATAAAGTGGATATGCCTCAAATCGGATGTCCAAAGATGTCCAAGATTGTCCATTAGAAATCCCGGGAAGGTCCACATTAATATCAACATTTCGATGCAAGTACATAAATAACTCTACCTAATTCCGACCTCTGATAATAACACGGAAAACTAAAAAGCTACAATGTACAAAATTTCTGTCAACAAACAATCATTGAAAAATTTAATTTCAATACACAATAGATTAAAATCTATTTCTTGAGGAGTAAATTAAAAGCCTTCACAGATACCAGTAAACTTACATGTCGACTCTATAAAGCAAACACAGTAACTCGCAAAACCAAAAGTTTTCTTTTGAAAAGGAAAACTTTTTATTATTTCTTTTCGATTTTTAAACTTTCTCTTTCTCTTACAAAGTGAGAAATAACACTTATCTTAAAAGCGAATAAATTATTTAAGAAACTACTGTTGAAGTCAAGTGGAGGTTTTCTGTATTTCAAGTCAAGTCAAGATTATTAAATGATCTCTCTTTCTTAAAGATTAAAGTATTTTCTATTTATTAAAAAAAATATGAAGAATACAAGTATAAAGTAGTTTGTATTTAAAAAAAATATAACCATACGTTGACTTTATTTGATTTACAATTTAATTTATCTGGAGATTCTTGTGCCCAGAGAGCTCGAAATTGTTATTATTCATTTGATTGAAGCTTATTTTCACTATGATGACTATACCGCAGATGCTGTCTTTCGTGCCAGAAGCGACGGAGTATATCGATGGCGTGGCAGTACACTTTTACAGTGACAAATTTATCTCAGCTGACATACTGTCGTTAGTCTCTGAACGATATCCAGACAAGTTTATTTTGTCCACAGAAGCCTGTAAAGGTAAATCATCTTAATTGGCGGTAAGAGTCATGTCCAATCCCGATTTATTCTTTGCTCATCCCGTGACAAGATGCCGGGTTATCGATTTTAAATTGACTGCATATTTGTTGCATATTGTATACTGCATATTGTGTCGCATTCGAGGAGCCAGGTTCTTCTGGAATATGGCTCTAGATTATCATAAACCGCTTGTGACTTCAGATTCCAGAAAATGAGACCACATTTCTATGTTCATTTAAAAGTTAGTCTAAGATGTAGGTTTAAGTCAATAAATATTATTATGTAACTAGGTCATGCCCGCGACTTCGTCCGCTTAGTATAGTGACTTTGGGATTACGGAACATTGGTTAACAAGTTATAATTGCATTTTTAACTTCAGTAATCACCTGGTTCGTAGCTCGTTTATCCGGAAAAACGCAAAGCGTGGTGGCATACTAATTTTATTAAAAGAAAAGTTTAAATTTAAAGAAGGTAGAGATATAGTGAGCCTATTAGTTGAGAAAATAATAGAGATTGTCTGCATAGAGCTGCTCTAGCTGATTGTACTGAGCATATATAGACCTTCAAGTTTAGTTTATCATTATGATCTTTTTGAAATAGTTATGGATGAAGCTTTAAATGAGGTATATAGCAAAGGCAAACGATTAGTGATTGGGGGTGATTTTAACGTTGATTTATTAGGAAACTCCAATTCATGTACAAGACTTGTTAATCTATTTATGTCCTATGATTTTGCACACATGTTTAAGGAGCCCACTAGAGTAACTGCTACTTCGTCCATATGAATTGACAACATTTTAACAGATCTGATATCACTTTCAAAACGGATAATTAAACAACTACCGTCAGATCATTATGGACAAAAAGTAATGAATCGACAACAATTTGGTTTTACAAGGGGTCGCTCAACAACCGAAGCCGGCGTCGAGTTAATACAACAAATTTTTAATACCTGGGAGGATTCACATGATGCGTTAGGTGTTTTCTGTGACCATTATTCTAAGACGTTTGTGTGTGTTTTTCATGAAATATTCATTAGGAAACTTCATCGTTATAGATTTAGAGATAACTCATTGGATTGTATTGTCTCATAATTGAATGACAGAGTACAGAGGGTTGATATCAATGGCAAAAGATCCCCTGGATCGAAAGTTAAGATGGGTGTTCCACAGGGCTCAAAACTTGGTCCTTTCTTGTTTTTAATTTACATAAATGACTTGCCTTATCTCGTAAGGGATAATCACAAATTGGTTTGTTTGCGGATGACACTTCACTTTTGTTTAATATTAAAAGAGGGCTACCTAGTAAAGTAGTACATTGGTTTAATGTAAATAATCTTCTCTTTAATCAAGGAAAAACAAAATGCCTAAAATTTGTACTACCTAATTTTTAAAAAAGTAGATATAAATGTTAATATAAAAGATAAGAACATGAGCCTTGTGGACAACACAGTATTTTTGGGAATAACATTAGATTCTAAACTACAGTGGGGCCTACATATTGATAAATTGTCGAGTAGACTTAGTTCTGCAGCATATGTCGTAATAAAGATACGTAGATTAACTGACATCGATACAGCCAGATTAGTATACTTCAGTTACTTTTATAGTGTAATGTCGTACGGAATCCTATTGTGAGGAAATGCTGGCGGCATACAAACGATTTTTGTGCTTCAGAAAAGAGCAATTAGACCAATTTATAATCTTAGGATTAGGGACTCTTTAAGGGAGAAATAAGAAAAAAATAGACATAATGAATGCTTCTCAATACATATACGAGAGCTTAATGTACGTTCGTAAAAATATTAGTTTGTTTTCTATAAAAAGTGATGTACACAATTTTAATACAAGAAATAAAAATAAATTAGCGGTGCCTGTCACTAGACTGCAAAAAGTTAATAACTCATTCAAGGGTCTTTGTGTGCGCTTCTACAATAAGGTCTCAAGCACAATACAACAATTAGATATCAAGCAGTTCAAATCTATTACTTTTAAAAAAATACTTATTAAAACAGTTTATTATAACTGGATAGGTGATTACTTCTAAACTTTTTTTTTACTCTCTCTATTTATAATGTATTGATCTGGCAATGACATGGTTTTTGTGAATGTCATTACTCCTATTAGAGCTGGTGAGTTTCTTGCTCGTTGGGGATAAAATGTTGGACGATTCAAAAGTACTTTTAAGAAGTCTATTTGAATAAAGACTATTTTAACTTTGACTTTGCTAAAACGTTGAATGTGTCAATTTTGTATGAATATTTATACAAATGAGAACAAAATAAAAACATGTACAGAAAACATTTTAATATTCTAGGATCTCAATCACAATGTTGTGGGATGGATAGACTGGAATCTATGCCTCAACTCGCAAGGAGGTCCGAACTGGGTAGATAACTTCGTAGACTCCCCCGTCATAGTGTTCCCAGAGAAAAAGGAGTTTGTGAAGCAGCCGATGTACTACGCACTCGGACACTTCTCCAAGTTCCTGCCGAGAGGATCACAAAGGATTAAAGTGACAGAAAAGTACTTACCGAGATCATCCCCAGTATAAAATGTTGCTTTTTTGACCCCGCAGAATACTGTGGTTGTCGTTCTATACAATGAGTAAGTTTTTAATTTAAAATCTAATTTCAATATTCTTACAGCTTTCTTATTTATTTCAGTCAGCTTTCTTTCAAATACATCTCAAAAATATATAAAAAAAACACTCAAATAAAAGCTTAATAGGAGTGAATAATCATTAAGACTCTACTACTGAAAACAGACGGGGTTTTGGAAGGTTATTAAATAAATAAAATATATATTAGACAACATCACATACACCTAATTATTTCGCGAAAGCACTTGTAGAATGGAAAATTGAAACGACGAAATTAACTTATTTCGTTTTACTTTTTGCGTGTATTATGTTAGGTAAAATGGATTGTTAGAATATAATTCAATTATTACACTTTAGATTCCAGTGTGAGTTTTAATAGTAGGGATACCAAATACAAGCAGAATACACTTTTTGGGTAGGTCATCACTCCCTGCGTAGCTCGCAAGACACTTGGTGTGAATTTAAACGTATTAGCAGATTAAGATTTTGTTTGCCACCAATTTCGGTGTCAAAAGAGTTGTATTTAAAAGAACACCACATCAAAACTTAGCCTAAATGTGCTGCATTATTTATTTAATTCTTTATGCACAATGGTACATAGGTGGACTTAAATATAAATACATACATACCTTAATGAATATTATGCCTAGTAGAAATGAGATAGTAGAGATTGAGGTGGTTTACAAAAAGATGTCCGGTATTTTTAAGCGATTAATTCACAAAACTGACTTGACAAATCTGCAGACACGCCAGCTAGACTGGGCTCTATAGGTCTGTCTAATTTTTTTGATTGAGGACCGTCGCTGAAACTACACAGACCTAAAGCGATATCTAGCGGATTTGTCTTCCCCGCTTTCGTTAGCACTCTATAGAAATTTATTACGATGTCCAAATTGATAATATTATTTCCTGTAAAAAAATATTTGTTCTAGTCTTCAAAGACCTTTGGTTACAAAAACTTCAAGCTGGATTGACTTTTTTAAATAGTGCTCTTATTTTTTTCAGTGGTGAATCGACAACAGTTTACATACAGCTGGGGTGGAAGAAGGCAACGGTACCGATGGAAGCCAGATCGATCGTCACCGTCGAAATTGCTCATTGAATGCTAACAATTGAATATTTAATAAGACAGTAAGGATTTCATAGAAAAATACTTCAACAATAAGTTCCCGTTAACGAAAGAAAACGGGTATTTTAAAATATTTTTCCTACATATTAATATTAATTTAATAAGGATAAATGTGAATGTAAAATTAAATAAATATAATAATGACAAAAAAAGTCTTATTTTCAATGAGATATTCATATAAATTAACTTAATATTAGTAGTAGTAATAAATGTAGTGTAGTGCGCATCTCTATTCTCCAAACTTCATGCCTGAGCTTGACTTCTATGACAATAGCATATGCGAAAGAAGAATAAATAAACTTAAAATACCTACCTACTAAACAGCCTATAAAGCGCGAAAGAAAATAATAATAATTTTCGAAAATACTTATCTACTAACTTACATTTGTACTTGTCTTATGACAGCATTAATCTCGATCCTAGTAATCACTACATATTATAAAACAAAGTACCCCGCCGCTTTTGTCTGTCTGTCTGTTCGCGATAAACTCGAAAAGTACTGGACGGATTTTCATGCGGCTTTCAACAATAGATAGAGCAATTCTTGAGGAAGGTTTTAGTGTATAGTAAGTTTAGGTTTTGCACATACTTTCGGAAAAAATAAAGCCGATGGAGAGCTTTCCTCGAAAACCTTTGAGTTATAACAAAACATTGTATGGTGGAATTGTACATCTTTAACAGATGTACAAAAAAGTCCACGGTGGTTTATGTCGATATTCTAAGGATAACCCACAATAACAATTTCTTTACGTATACTTAAAACAGTAAAATGGTGGGTTATTTACGAATCTATTTTTAACAATACAGTATTGATCCTTATTCAGATAAATAAGTTAGATACATTATGTATGAATGTAGATTAATTACCAATGAGTTATCGAAAAATAAAAATCTCCGGGTGGGCTATTGAATATCGATGAATAAAAATGATTCGCCGAAACGTACTTATGTACGCGCATAATTTCAGAATTGCAGTTCCGACTGCACCAAATTGGATGATTTTATTTTTTATGTGTTCCACGATTCATGACACGGTTTGTGTATAAGATTAAAATAATAAAAAAACGGGTATAAGGCGGTACGAAGTTCGCCGGGTCAGCTAAGAAGATATATAAATAAATGATTTTTTTACTAAAACTTCTTGTAAATAATGATCAACTCATTAACAATTTCCTAAATACATACGTTTAGACTAAGCAACTTCCTCCTAAATTGCTTTGTACGCCCTAATATGCATTGCATTATTATAATGATTCAATAATGTTATTCAATTAGCAAACCACAGCGAGTTCGTCATGTTTTTTCGTTACTTGGTGCTGTGTTTGTACTTTTATATGTAAACCTAACTACAGGCTGATGTTAAAAATTACTTGTCGAAATTAAATTACCCAGTTACTTTATTTTTTATTCATGAGTCTCCAAAAGGGACTCCAATATGTACGTTTCATTATCAGGACGATGGATATTTAATATACCATACTTTTTTTCTGGAAAAGAACTTTAAAAATTTTACTGCTTACATCCTATACTACATTTGGACTATATCAAAAATGTGAACATAATATTGTGATTAAATCTCCATTGAGTCTTCTGTGCACCTTGGGTTTTAGGTATTTGGAGAATCAAGCCCACATGAAAGTAAAAAATTACATAACACAAAGCGAAAAAGAAACATTAGTGCACAAAAAAAAAGCGTTGTGGCCTTTGACCTGGGGTCAGCCAATTCATTTTTCTTTGACAATTATCATAAAGAATCCACTTTTCATCACCAATCATCCAATAATCCTTCATTTCTATACCGATTTTACAAGGCAACACAAGTTTCAACACGCGTTTCTTTCTGCAGATCAGTCAAATCATGAGGCACCCATTTTTCGTATTTTATTGATTTGATGCAAATGAGTCAGTATTGTAGGTAAGGTAACGTTAAACCATACCGCTAATTGTTGGGTAGTTTGACTAGGATCGGCTTCCACCATCTCTCTTAATTCATCGTTAGTCACCTGTGTGGGCAGTCTTTCTCGTGGCTCGTTCCTCAAGACGAAGTTTCCACCACGAAAGCGTTTAAACCAAAATCGCACGGTGCGTATATTACCAGACCCCTCTTCAAACGCAACATTAATATTGCGGGCTGTTTCTGCCGCGGTAATTCGGCGTCGGAATTCTTATTCAAAAATCACTCGAATTTTTGCAGTATCTATCTTTCTTGTCTAAGTTAAATAACAAAACAATTGAAAGTCGATATTCAAATTATTTTATATTTTTTAAAACTTTAACACCTAATATTATAAAAAAAAACATTCTGTATAAAAACGATACTTGGAAGTTTATTATGATCATTGTAACATTGCTGGTTTTGAATGCGCTTAAATATAACGCAGCGGAAGCATCGTAGAAGTCGATTATGTCGTATGAGTCATACGACAGTTTGTAGGGCGATCACAAAAGCCTGTGGTGATTCACAGTTGTTTTTCAATACTAATAATATAAATGGAATGACAGTTACTTTTTTGTTGGAAGTGAAATGTGATCTACACTTAGCGACAAGTAACGGGGTCACGACCGTTAAGTTATATGTAAAACTCTATATGATGAGTTAACTATTCTGGAAATAGAAATAATCAAAGCTCCTAATTCAGCTTGCACATTTTTTTACTTTCTAGATCTACGTATCAAGAATTTATTTTTTTATAGAAAAATGCTTAAAAAGCCTGTTTTGGAGGATTTTTTAAGGGTTTAAGATAAATATCAGTATAGTATTGTGGAACTACTGATCTTCTTCCACCAACGGGAAGCTACATCATACGTGTAATTTTCATGCCGCGGGAAAACAGAGTTATAATATATTTTTATTTTAAAAATAATAATATATAATTTCGTATACTTATAATCCTACCAATATTATAAAGGCGAAAGTTTGTAGGTTTGGATGTTTGGATGATTTGGGCGTTTAGATGTTTTTTACTTTTTCACGAAAAAACTACTGTACGGATTTAGATGAAATTTGGTATACTGGCAATTCTTGATCTGACTAAACATATAAGCTTTTATTCCGCTAATAGGTTCCCTAGGGATAAAAGTGCTTCCAAGGGCTCCTATTTTTGTGAAGCGTTCATTTAAATGTAAGAGATATACGCTGCCTAAACGGTAAGAAAAGATTATCGTCAAAGAAATTTAATGCAAATAAAAATTGTCTTTTACAAAAAATCAATTCGATGAGTAGTTTGGATTTTACTACGATGTTTTTGAGAAAAAGAAAAACACACCCTGCAGATTTTCTAAAGATTATTTCATGTGTTTGTATCTATTATGTATGACTTACCATTTTTTTTTACATGTATTCGATAACTTTATATTTATAATGTTATTATAATGTTTTTAATAAAAATAATAAAAGCAGCGATGGCTAAGAGAGAGTTTAGTAACAAGGAACACCTATTCAAGGAGAGATTGCCAGTCTGCATATCGAAGAAGATTATCTAGATTAAAATAAGGCATTTGTAGTTTTGGATAAGGATGAAAAAGATTAGCTGGACGGAAATACAATCGATTGAATAAGTATTTGTAATCATCAACGAAAAGAAACGGCTAATAGGGCTACCGCGTAACATTGGCTTCGATTTGAGAATGTATGGACACTTCATTCGACACGATGACTTCTTTAAAACCAGGCTGCAATCTAAGACAATCTGACGAGCATTATAAACTATTATTGTGACACTATCGAGAATCAATTAGAAAAGCAAGGACAGTTACAATAATCGCTCTTAGCAAAATGTGAATCAATACCAGCTCAGAAACTCGGAAGATTAGTTACAGTTTACTTATCCCTAGAAGAGATCTACTCCAGCCAACCTAAGAGTCGTGGAGAGTAAGATGTAAGCGGGTGATAAAAGTGCAGTTAAATGATATTACAGTTGGAAAAAAATATATTTATATAACGTGTTTCATTCTGGATCGGGTCAATGTTGAAAATTTTATATATTGTCCACACCAAGAGGTGTCGTGGTATTTTCGTTGTTTCATAGTCGAAAATTCGAGTGCTTTAGCTACTCGACTTAGAATCTAAGCAATATATGTGGTACTATATTTATTATTGATTTGATTTATATTGCCTTGACATTCGATACAATCCAGTAACGAATAGCCTCTTTAGTAACAGCAGCCATAGCTATGCTGGTTAACTCTATTAGCGGCTTCCGTCGTCATAACGAATGGATATTACACATGAGAGGGACGTAAAGTACCTTACACATGACATGACTGTGGCATAGTTATAATTTACATAACACAATAACAATGTAAAACAGGGAGGGATAGAGGGAATCCTGATACAAACGGGATAGATACCTAATGCAAATGTCCATAAAAATTTCATTACTTTAAAGTGACATTACTGATAAAAAAAATTTTTTAGGACATTGATTAGAGCTTTATGTTGTTATTGAACCTCAATAGACGTATGCAACTGGGTGTAAGTCTTCAGAATTTTTCTATGAGATTATTTTTCGATATGATTCTAAAAGAAATATATCGTCTGACTTTATTATTTATAACAACTGCACGTCTTATTTGAGCAGTAAACCTTCGCTTCCGTGTTCAACATCAGCAACTCTTTCATCCCCCTGTAAAACCGCGTTTTGAGATACTCTTCCGCTATATGCCAAACGGTCTGGTCTGGTCCTGTGTCCCACAACCGCAGGCAACTGATGCCTTGTATTCCCTATTTGCCAGTTTTCATGGTTTTATTATAGTTTAATGGATACTGATTAAGGTAAGCAACCCGGTTTTAAATTATTAATGTACGTACATATTATCTAACTAATTTTAATATATACCAATCTTTCACTATTAGATAGCTATTTATTTTTACAAAGAAGATTGCAAAATGAAATGCAGTCTTGAAAATAATTTGATTTAAAAAAACGTGTAAGGAAAAATATTGAATACGTATTGATACTATAGTAAATTGAATGGTCTAAAAGTGAGAAATATAAACGAAGTGATTGTAATTAAACAAATTTGTAATTTATATTTATATTTCCTTTTGCAATCGTAACAAATTACGAATCATGAATGAATCACTTCTCTAGAACAACTATAGCACATTCGCTTTCTTGAATTGCCGACAGCTTTGTTTAAATGAATGGGAGGATGTCACTATTATGACCAGTCTTCGGGTGACCGCGGTGTGATACGTACGCGTCGAGTCAAAAGCTTGTGATAAGAAAAAAAAAAATTATCTTAGATTGTTTTGTTAGAGACGTGACAGTTTCTTTTATTCAAAATGTACCGTTGTGTGCTGCTGGGTGTTTTGTTGACGGTCCTGGGAGGTGCGTCAGCGCATACTTATCATCTGGGAGCATGTCCCATTGTAGAACCAATGCCCGGTTTCGAGATGAATAAGGTTGGTTTATAAATTATGTGTTAAACAGTAAAACCCATAGCAATTTAAATTAGCAATATTTTTTTAACTTTATTTATCATGACCAACTAATGATATCATGAAAATCTCGTCATCCCTTGCCTATGATGTTGTCTTTTCTAACGTCTACCTCACATGCTTACATCCTTCTTAAGCTTATTTATTTTCCGATTTGCATTATCTATAATATATTTGATACAGGTAGGTACAACTTTCGCCACAAACAACGAACCAGCGGCATTGTTCGTTTGGACATCGCAAAAGCGGTAATTTCATCTCAATAAAATGCTAGCGATAAAGAATATTCAATTATGATTTACTTTTCTATTTCTTTTACCGTTCCTTACAGTTTTTTCTTGTAAGATATTGGAATGGAAAGGGACCTTATAGTCTAACGAAGTAATTTCATGCTACTTCTATGCCATAAAACAGGAGAAACAACTTTTGCTATCGAACACTGTTTTTTTTTTGTAAATATGTTAATAAACCACAGGAAAAATGTGAACTTTTTAAAAAACTTGGCTTATATATATTACTATTTAATGTCATTAAATGCCATTTTCGACATCATGTATTTAATTTTTTTTCAATTTATCTTAACGTGGTGAGTCAGATAGTACAGATATGTCTGTCATAAGGCGCCTTGTTTATTTATCTCAACGGATATTATGACTTATCTTTTGTGTTATGAATTCTGTGTTAATAAACTTTTGTTCGTATTAGGAGAACGTAAATATTATCTTAATTTTAATATAAAAGTTGGGTTTTTTATTTTTTATAAACGACAATAAATAAGAGACGAATTATGTACCCGTTAGTAATTTTAGTTTGATTCGGTAAGGGGTAATGCTTAGTGTTGCACTAATATTTAACGTAGCATTAATTTAAAATCACAGAGTGTAATCACAAGTTTATTCATAAAAAAGTAAGTACAGGGCCGATGCTCTTTGTTTTGAATTTTTATATGACAACAAAATGATATAAAAATTTACATTGTTTACACTTTTGTCAGTAACTGTAGGGCCGGAGGTCGTGGTGTTCTCATTGATGAAGGTAACGGAAACAGGGCTACAGCCATATCAATGACGGCGTCTACGGGCTGCAGTGGTCAATTAGAAAAAAAAAACAGATACAAAGGGCCACTACTATAATAGGCCTCTGAAATAAGAAAATCTAGGTGCTCACAGCTCTTGACCTACCTGCAAATTAGTTGGTACACTGTGAGATTTTTAGTGAGAAGGCCGCGTAAGGCCTTCTTCCACTCACTAGGAACAAGGATAAGGGTACATGGTTCGTGCTGTATTCATTCTGGATTAGAGACATGACCAAAAATCTTATTTCAAAATACAGATAGTATAGGAAAGTTCGTTGTCTACATTGATCCAAACGGGAATTGAACCTCACAGATGGTGACATCTTGAAACCTGCGATGTGCGAGTCGCTTGGCTACGGAGGTGGTTGTAAATTATCTAGAACTCATCAGCGTTTTTGGAGACACCTTAAATCATTGGGCACACCTATCATTCTTCACTGGGACTGCTTGGTTATCATTTTATAGCCCATTCTCATCATGAAATAGGAATTTAATTCTAACTATCTAGGGCAACATTTTGTTAAATAAACACATTACCTTTCTTTGCGTTGTGCAGTCGGGAAATAACAAATAATCTGCTATACATACTTATAATGTAGACGATTTTCCCTACGATCACTGTAAAAAAGGCGTTAACAGCTCCAGAATTGTAATGATAGCGTGTAATCATGGGCGTAGAAGGTGGATGCCCCGCTTTTGGCCATTTGCATTAACACTTTTTAGTAATAGACTTTAAATAAGTTAATTGATTTCTTAGAGAAATACCTACAGTAGTTTATACAGATTTTTAATTTGTTTTTTAAGGATAAACTAAACCAAAGTCACTTAACTCATTAGAAGCTATGATTTGAGAAAATATCATCATTATATCTAAGGGTGGGTTCTAGACGTGCCTTAGCGAGGATTTCAGATCAGCGGAAAGATATTTCTTTTAAGTCATAATAAATATAATTTTAAAATCGTACCTATTCATCTTCTTTCTTTCATCTGTTTTCTTCTTATCAATCTATTTAAATTATAATAACAAACAAATGACAGTCGATTATCTTGTTGTAATGAATTCGGGGTCTTGACCGGGACTTATTGACTTTTGAACGAAGAGATAAGTCCGTCTGTTTGTGATAATGACATGAAACAAACGGTCGTATGCTCCTAAGGCGTTCGAGATAAAGGAAAATGACCAAAAGTAGTATTAGGAGTCTAAAGTAAATTAAGTAAAATTTTTTGATGTTCATTATCGATTGCATCGCGTTAAGATTTTAGTATGGAATCTGGTATAGCGCCTCTAGCGGTAACTATTAAAACTACAAATATTCATAGTAATTCTTAACGCGCTCACTATATAATAAAACTAAATGTAGATGTAAAACTTACACCTATCACTATAATTATACTGAACCGGTATTATACTGGGTCCTTTGTGGAAAGGTACAGCGCTTCAATACAAAAATGTGGTATGTTCATTTAGATTATCTTAACTTATATCGGTTTTAGCTAAATGTAACTTTTTATTTACGTGATATAATATTACATTTAGCTGACGCTACTGATCACTAGATAACACTACTGTACTTTTAAAACGGAATTTTGTTATTTTTAGATGTTTGATGTCTTTATTGGTTTTACGATATAAATTATTCAATTCGTACCAGTAGTTCTTGAGATTAGGGAGTTCAAACAAAGCTCTTCAGCATTATTATTAGTATAGATTAGGAGGAGCCTATGATTTTGTCCATGTACGAGTATAATTTCATTGAGGATGTAAACAACTCTCCATTATAGTATCTAAACAGACTTTAAAATATTCAAGTACCTAAACCCATGCATCATTGTTGTAACAATAATTTGAGTTGATTTCATATGTATTGAACGGCTCAGCTTAGCATCTACCAAAAGTAGGAATCACTTCGAGATGATAAACTTTTGTCAACCATTTGAATACAGCTATTCCGTTAAATTAATGTTACAGGCTTACAGCATACAGCTGCATTGAAATAAATTACTTTTTTATGTAGGTTTTATTTGATTGATAGCTCTATGCTGTGTTCGACTTTTTCAACGAGTCCAGCGCTGATTTTATTACAGAATAACACTATAGTAATTTGCGGGATTAGCTTAGCCGTTTTGATTTGTAATATTTGTTAATATATTTTCAGCTGCTAGGCGTATGGTACGTGATCCAGAAGACGTCGACCGCCTCACACTGCATCACATATAACTTCACGAAGACCCAAGAGCCGGGCAAATACGAGCTGGAGCAAGTCTCCCAGCACTTCATATTGGGACTTACTCCTCTCAAACATGACTACAGGTAAGTAAGTAGCTAGTTATTATATAAACTTCTGTAGGAATATGAAACATACAACCCTAAAAAAATGAAATCTCTGAAAAAAAGGATTAGGTATAAAAATTGAGTTTTGGAGGGTATCACATTGCAAGAGCTATTGAATTTTTGGGGAAATTGTATATGTCATAGGTATAAAACTGCACAGTCATTTTATTCTTAAATTAAGATATGATTTGACAGGCCCGTCTTAAGCAAAACAGGCGCCTGGGTGCAAGCAGTGCTCTGGCATGTACTTACGTCGAGCTGGTTCAAAAAATGAAACGGTTTCCAAGTTCTGAACTTGGTACCAGGATATATAATGTGACATCTTGCGTTGTTCCAATTTAACATATTTAACTACATCGAGTCCGTGGACGACTATATTATGAAGTTTGTCCTTTTCTAGGTACACTGGTATCTTGACTGTTCCCGACCCAGCTGTCCCTGCAAGGATGAAGATTCGATTCCCACTTAGTAAGTATTTTTTTACTTTATACAATATATTTTCGGGTAGTTTTACTGCGTTTTGTTGGTTTGGTCTCGTTAGCGTTCTTTTTGCACAATAAAGAAATAATCAGAGAAAATAATCTAAAATAACCATAATTTTCTTGAAAACAAAATTTCCTATTTTTACTGCGTTACATTTCTAATGTTCGTAGTATGACCTGACCAAAAGAAGACGCGGCGACGAGGTAATAGGGCGTAAAAGACTACCTACAGACAGACGAATATCTACCGACACTGAACGTAGAGTATTATTGGGCAAAATATTATTCTTCATGCGTAAATATCTATAATCTTCTGTGTTGTGTGCAGAGAGCAAACGATGTTGTTGGCAGTGGCGGATTTACCGTAAGGCCACAGAAACCTGGGCCAAGGTTGAGCTCTCACAGCCAATTGTACAAACGTCTATATGAACCGTTACCCGGCACTGCTAACATCTATTTACTTCTATTTCAGGCGTGGCTGGATCAGCGAGCTATACAGTAGTTGCGACGGATTACGATACGTACGCAGCAATATTCACATGTCAAAAACTTGCGTTTGCGCACCGCAGGTCTGCTACCATCCTTTCCAGGAGTAAGGAGCTCGACAAGATATTTGTTGACAAAGTAAGTTGTATCAACAGAACTCCGCAAACAAGTTACTTACCTACTATAAAAAGCGAACTTTTAAGGTCGTGTCCCACAAAACAAACTACATGCATAAAGCTCAGGTTAGGAAAAAATGCCATGGTATTGAGGAGGCCTATACTCAATTTTGGGTTACGGAAGGCTGATATAGCTATAAAAATGGAAACAGGATAGTTTTTACCAGGACATATTATGTCAAATCAACTTCTCATCATCTAAAATTTATTGATTCGTAACATTATGGTGGGACAAGCGGTAAACCTTATTATTTGTATCTAAGTTCCAATAGTTACTAACATATGGTGATAAAATTAGGCCAAGCATTAGCACAAACCCACCAACGCGTATTGGTGGGTTTGTGCTAATGCTTTGATTTCCGAAGCACGAAGAAGCTAGAGATAATATTTTTTGGCCCTTGCCAAATTTGCTGAACTTCCGCAACGATCGAACGTACTAACCATTGCGTCATCGAGCTCCTCTTTTAGAATAGGCAACAAATCAACGATGCCATAGACGTCCTTTTTTCCATTTGAAAGTCGAATAAGTAAGTATTTATAAGTTAACACCTACTATTCGTATGGTTTCAGATGCGCACTAGACTTTCGTCGTTCGGCGTGGATCCGTACGACCTGTCCATCATCTCACAGAGCGGCTGTCCCAAACACACCAACGGCACTGAGGGAGTTAACATCGACATCGACCCGGAGACGTTCTCCTCACACAACATCGGCGAAGCTGTACGCAAGACTGGTAGTGCAATCGGTTAGTGCTATCCTATTTTGCTGGAAAATTACTAACTGAATGAATCATGTGTTTTGTTAATAGATTGACTGGCTGATAGATCGGCTTATTGAATGGCCCATTGCTAACAGACTGATTGACTTAAACGATAAATTAAATAACTAGTATATAGATTGATTGTAACTATATAAATAAAGTTTATTGCTTGTCTATAGGTACTAGAATTATAAAGTTTGATAGTTTGTAAGGTCTTTGATTCTCAATCATTGTTTGGTGTTAGGTAATTGTTTTACATATTTTTTTAATATTTTGGATTTAACATAGATATCGGAATACTTACGAGGAAATCATTAGGAAATACTCAATAAGTACGTATAAACTAAATAAAAAAATATTTGTATTTGGTTTTTCATCAATTTTATTATTACATTTCCAGCTGATGGCGTAGAGTACGTAGTGGAAGCGGGCAAGAAGGTTTACCATAAAGTAGCGAGCAGTAAGGAAGATCTCACCGAGACTCCGCAGGGAGGTTACGAACGGAACCTGGACGCGGACGCTGAATGGTTGCCTTAAAAACTAAACTTTAAAGATAAATAAATATATAGTATATGTGTAGCCGAGACTTGTCATGATCACTGACAGAATATCGCCTTCTATTAAAGGCATAGTTTTAGGTTGTAAATATAGCGTTAGCCACTCTTATTTCTCGTCATATTCATCTGAAATTTGACAAAGGTATTCGTTTTAATGGACAGTGACCTTGAATAATGCCTCAATTTATATGTAGATTCAATTTTTTTTTACAAAATCTGATTTTCTGTAAAATATACTCGTATATAAGATGTAATATTATGTGCCAGAATTTCGTGGGGTGGATGTGTTAAATACTGACAACTTTTACTATGAGAGCAACACTGAATTCGCGAAAGAATAATCAGCTGCTTCATACTGTTGGCGACTTACACACTGTACGCACTACAATTTTACAATACAAATTATTACAATTTTGTATGAAACAGCTGATATTTTTTTCGTGACGTCAGTGTTGCTGCCATAGTAAAAGTCGTTCAGTATGCTTAAACATTTGTTTGTTAAAACAGACCATATAAAAGTAGCATTTAATAAACAAATATTAATATTAAGTGAGGCATTTTGTAAATATCTTTTGAATAGAGACTCTAGACAAGAGCCAAATTCTACGTTAAGCTAATATCAAATAGAATCAAATGATTCTTAATACGTTGAAATTTTAATATAAAATCAACCAGAAACTGTGAATTAAGGTAGCATTATTACTAAATATATTAGGCATTTATATATGTAAATTCACTAAATACTCATTTTTTTTACTCAATTAATGGTACTTTATTTTAGAAAGTAGAATAACCTTAATGAAAATACAGTGCATTACTAATAGATAAAATATACAATGTGAATATTATTTCATTAGGTTAAACATTGTAATGATATAATAGAATATGAGAATATGATTTATTTTCACACCACAATAAATATAGTATGTGCTATTGGCAATAGTTTCATTTATTAATTTATAAAACATAGCGTTGTAGATTAAAAAAAACATACATAAATAAAATTATCACAAAACAATAAGTTTATATATTCAAATCTCTTTGGCTTAGATTTAACTATGCCACCAAAACCTAATCTTATTTTAGTCGTAGCTATGATTTCCAGTTTCAAGATTTTATCAAGTTTTAGAACTGGTTTTACGAGTGTGAGAAAACTCGAGCCATAAACTTACTCTATTATACAATTAATTTTAACATTCAGTTCAGCAAAATAAAAATCATAAGTGATTTATAAAAAAAAAAAATACATGGAAATAATTAAAAGTCAAGCGACTAGAACTTTTTATGAAAAACCGGCAAAGGCATCATAATAAACAGCTTTCGAGTCTAGAACCAAGCATGCATTTGGAATAAAACAAAAAAGGCAAAGCAAACAGTTTTATTTTAATTTATTCGATAAATATTTATGGCGTGCATCTCTCCAAGAAGCGCGGGTAGAGGCAGACCTCCCTTATGTGATATCTATTGAGAAGCCAACACAGGAACCGTTCCAGCCCCAGCCCGTAACCGCCGTGAGGTACGCTGCCGAACTTACGCTGATCCGTGTACCAATAGTATGGGGTGGGGTCGATTCCTTCACGCTTATACCCTGAGGGAAAATTATATATTATCATCAACTTAACCTGTTCATGCCCTACATAAATAAAATATAAATAGATAATAGAGTTACATATACTATAACAATATAAGATAATTAGTACATAAATATTTATAGATAAATTAGTTCCAATTTAGAATAACAGATGGCGCACTGCCATTTTGAATCGCGGTATGATCGTACTTTTTGATGATTACTATACACATTTGTGATTTATAATATAAGGATTTTGACTGTTACCATAAAATAAATGGTATGGCTAAACTTGTCTCTTATTGAACCCTCACCTTAGACCTAGTATCCTGTCGGTTTTATTTCCAGTTTTTCTTCATGGTCCTTCGAGCTGGATTGACAAGTTGCGTTAAAGGCGCAGTGACGATCGGTGTATATCTGACGGAAACTAGTTCGCGTATCATTAAACGAATGAAAGTACGATATAATGCCGTATAATTGTAAGAAATTCTATATATTCGGCGACCGGACCTTATATATGACATTGAACCTTGCACACTTGACGGATTATTCGTCAGATGTGCACCAACCCTTAAACTCATCCTTCAAATCACTCTCAATAAAAAAATATCTCAAATCAATCTAATAATTATCAATCAAATAATGAGTCTTGTTATAATAAACATAACGTGTAAAATACCATACACTTAGGTTTCACTTGATCCCACGAGATAGCAAAATACACTTTTACAATAAAAATATACCTTTATGATTATTCGTCATCCCGTCTTTTACATCTCACCTTAACTGATTTTCTATCAGGGTTCGCTGATGAATATCAACGGATACACCTATATCATGATACATATAACAATAGATGTTTATTACGCGTATGAGCGTGTGACATAGAATATAATTTACAGCTATTGACATATATATTAAATAAATATATAATCACCTTCTAAGAGTTGTTCGTGGTCCCATATCCTCATAGAACCACCGACGATCTCGCCGACGCCGGGCATCAACACATCCACAGATTCCGTAACGCGTCTATCGTGAGAACATCTCGACATATAGAATGACTTTATCTCCGCAGGAAATTCACACAAAAGTATCGGGACACCAATCGCGTCCGTCATCTTGCGCTCGGGCATTTCCGGGATGTCCTGAAAATTATACAAAAAATATATATATTAGAGGACAAAATGTAATACTGTGTTTATTAAAGTTAATCATATTCACATATTTTTACAGGACGGCCCAAAAAGGGAACTTATGGTGTCTAGGGTTAATGTATGTATGTGACTTTCACCATAACTTTTAAAAAACTTAACGGATTCAATGTATATAATACAACATGGCGGATGTATGACGTCATTAAAAAAAAATATGAAAAGAAATCTTAATTATAGCAATATCGGTATAAAATTAAAGGATGAATACATTACATAAACCGATGATTAAAAGTAATTAATATAATTCATTTAAAAATTATAACACAAGACTGCGAAAATCAAACTATAAAATAAAATAAATAAACTGTATTATGGTTTACTCAGGGGACCAATTTTAAGGGTATAAAGGCAAATTTAGGGAAACATTTGAAATCTAATTGGTTCCTTTACTGCAATGAGAATTTTGTTAAATGTTTTCTAGTATAAAAAGTAAATCAATCAATTTTAAATTCATTTGTCTTACCTCACCAAATTCATAGAAAGATCCATCTTCTTTAGTGATATTGTTCTCTCTGAGATACTCAATAGCATCCTTGTAAGTCATCCTTTTGAATGGTTTCTGTGGCTTCTACAATAAAAAAAGAATTTTTTAATCAAAAATTGTGAGAAAGAAAAAAAAAGAATAAAAGTAATGCATGAAACATGTTTCAAAAACTGAGTTTTACATACTAAAATTGCCTTTTTATAATAAATTAAAAAATGTAATGTAAATGGAAAATTCATCAAAGCCGATATCTTGTCAAAAATATTTAGTTAGCTTTTTATTTGAATAGAGACTTATATAAAACAACAACAAACAACTCTTCACATAAAAGTTTCGTACGAACTTTAAAGTCAGGGTTCAGCTCGTACACCAAGTGACCTTCAGGCGAGGCGAGCACTCGTTCCACCACATCCACCACGAGATCCTCGAGCCGGTCCAGCAGGTCATTGAATGTTATGAAAGGACACTCGGCCTCTACGTGACTGTATCTATATACAAACAAACAGACTTTGTCAAATGGTGGTTAGCGCGTTCAGTCAGCTCCTCTGTGTTTTGGAAGGCAATAAACTGTTTGTTCTGGCTTTGTCAACACCCATCAATCCGCACTGGCCTCGCGTGGTGGGTTATGGTCCATTATTGATTCTACCCCTATTGATACCATCAATAAGGAAACCTGTGCTCCATTTGTGCGGATAATAATAGGCTGATGATGATTTAAGCATAAGGCACAAAGACAGATGTGTAAGTAAATAACTTATTATTAAGCATTGAGCCACATTTTGAAGGTAAATGGGAAAATTGAACCATCCCATCCCCATTTTTAGGGTTCCATACCAAACAGGTAAAACGGGAACCCTATTACTAAGACTTCTGTCTGTCTGTCTATCAAAACAGACTGTAATGAATAGCGAAATTTAGACGGTTGAAATTTTCACGGCTAATGAATTTCTTTTGCCGCTTCGACTACAAATATTAAAAACCAGAACGAAATAAATAATTAAAGGGGCTAACATACAAAAAACGTGATTTAATTGCTTGTCACCGGTACAGAACCCATTGTATGCAAGTCTGATTTGCACTTGGTCGGTTTTTAGATATCATAGGTCCCAAAATCTATATGCTCTGCAAGTCATTATCATTTAAATAATTTGTATGGAACTGTATGGAACTCTCAGTGCACTCACGTTTGATGCAAGCCATTTAAACGGTTAAATGAAAATAGTTTAAAACCAACACTCACTCGGCTAGATGTCGCCTTGTCCTGGATTGTTCTGCACGATAGGACTGCGCTATACAGTACACGTCGCCCAATGACGCAAGACAAGTTTCCAGATACAGCTGCGAACTCTGAGTCAAGTATGCCTTCTCACTGCCAACAATAATGTAATTTTTTATTTACCGTCTTATTAGCTATTAATAAATCGGAAAGATATGGCAAGGATATGTCACACTGGTTCAATTAGCCACTGAATTGCACCATCAGCTCTTACATTTAATACCATCATGAGCATAACACAACTAATTCATGGCTCAGCCAAACGGTCAAATGTTTACATACGATTCCTCTAATAATTAAGTTTTCTAATAAAATAAAATTCGGCCAAAGTAAAGGAAAATCTGGCAATATTTGTGACTTTCGAATGTTAGAAACACATTCTAACTATACATATGAAACCAGCGATGCATTTGTCAAAAAATAAACTAAATCAACGATACACCGAATTTTCCGGCAGGCGTGGTGAAGTTTAATTGTCATAATGATTATACAAGAAAACTATAACATGAAGTTGAATCTAACTGCAAATCATACGATAAAACGGCTTCTACTAATAGTCGTTTAGACATTAACATACCTGAAGTATTGGAAGTCGAACAGCGTGCTGCCGCCTTCGCACTGAGTTTGAACTAGCGTCGGCGGCGTCACCTCCGTATAATGCCGCGCGGCAAAATGATCGCGGAAAGCGCGCGTCACCGCCGCACGCGCGCGTAACACTTTAGACGTGTTCTCCCCACGGATCATTATGTGCCTGAAAAAAAAACACGTATATGTCGCAAATTTAGTAACAAAAATGTTGTCTTCGGATAAGCAATTTTTTTTAAGTTAGAAGTTAAATCAATTTTATTTTTTTTTAAATATTGTGAATAAAACACGAAAAATACTGTTCCTCATATTAAAATTCATCAAATAATAGCAAGAAGCATACCTGTTGTCCAACTGTACATCAGGCAAGGCCTCCTCATTCAGGATAGCATCCGCACCACCTGGAGGGGCAAGCCCGATCAGCTCCCAGTAATCTGCTGTCATTTCGTGACCACCTGGAGCCTACAATATTGAACTGTTAGTGTGACTCTTTGATTTGGTTACTGTTATATTATGCATTAAACAATGATAATTTATCAAAAGACCATTTATCAAGCATATTAACATTACCACTGCACGAGAAAGAGACACTGAGTTAGCAAAGTAAAGTCTAATAACTTATGGGAAATTTGGTTTACCTGAATAAGTAACTATAACGTAAATAAACGAACTTGTTACACAGTATGTTCTTTTGTTTGGCCAATTAGAAAATTTTCAGTTTTTTACTTTATATTAAAGGCTTATTGCCGGACTGGATCCTGAAGATCTCATTATATATATATTTTATAATTTTGAAATGAAGATTTAAGTACCTTTACAATATATACTCATTGAATACAGATGACAATTCAACAAATGAAATGTGTTTAAAGAAAGCATAGCATCTAAAAAAATTGTTATCGATTCACGTCAGGTATATTTCTTGAACTATATTAACTTTATTAAATGAGTAGTTTGGGTGGACACAATAAAAGCAACAAGCACTCACTGTTTGGCCTTCCTTAACTGCTTCAAGCGTTCCATACAAAACAATAGATGATTCCGTTGACAGCACAAGGGCATTGTATGTCTGACAAAGAATGCCATGGAGTATGCATTGCAAGTAACCAGTTCCATCTCTCAAAGTGATAAAGATTAGGGCTTTACCCTGCCTTCTGAGTCTATGTACCCACCCTCGGATACATATTCGCTGACCTCTATATTCTCCAGCTGAAATAAAATTTAAGGATTAATAATATCTAGGTATAGTAATACAGTAGGGGATTTCAATCTCAGATTAATGTAGAAAATGTAAATTAACCTTTTTTTGGGTTACACATAAAAAATAAAAATTCATTTTCAAAACATACATATATGCGATTTTTAAATAATATTTTTTTTTTACATTTGAGATATCAGATAATTGGTATAACTCAATTTTTAAAATTTTCTGACTACCAAATATAAATGACTTCCAATGTTTAAAATTTATTTATTTATATTATGCATTCACTATAAGTAGTTGGCTTAAATATGTATACCAAATTTTATCTCTAATTATTTAAAAGCATCTGACAGAGAGATGGACAATAGATGAATAGAATTTATTTTCAAAATCTGGGGTTAAATTACTAGTTAATTTAATCCCAGATTTTTAAAATAAATTTCTAAAACAGATAGTGTTGACATCACAAAATTATGTGTACATAATTATGATTCATTTGATATTATAAGATGATGAAATAAGGTTAGCAAAATTGCATCAGCAAATATGTAACTACAGCAAATAGCATACCTATCAAATTATACAAATCAGTTAAATCTCTTCGAATGATTTTAAACTCTATTGCAATAGATGTAAAGAGATTAGATTGTTACCAATATTTGACATATGATTTAAACTTGACAAACAGCTGTGTATAGTATTCTTATATTGAATACTCATGAAGAAAACTGGTATTTACTTATTTCCTTGCTGAAACATTAGGCTTGGGTGAATAATAAAAATTTTAAGTTTAAATATAAAACAAAATATAAAGTATATTAATTTGGGGTATAATAGATATTTAATATCAATTATATTTACTAAACTACTTTTTTAAACTTAACGGAGAAGAAGTTAAGGAGAAGGGAAACATTTTCTAAAATGGACATAATTAGCGACCAAAAGGTTTAAACAGGAAATTTAAATATTTATTATTTTCCATAAATTGTTACCTACATAAGGTCTCATTCCAGTTACACACAGCACTTAAAAAATTATGCGTATATAAAAGATTTACCTTGGAATATTTTAATCACTTTAGCTTTCGGAAGACTGGGATCTTCTTTGATTTCGACTTTTTTAGCTTCTTCAATGTTCTGTTGCCGTTTCTGATTGGTTTCTTCCTCTGCTTTAGCTTTGTCTGACGCTTTGTAGTTCTCTCTTACCCATATCTTATGAATTTTCTTTAGTTGGGACTTTGCAGCGACGTCATACAATTTTCCATCTTCTTTTGCATCAACGAAAATTGTTGGAAACGGCTCATTTCCAGCGTGTCGCATAGCTTTCAAAATTGTTTTAAACGGCTTCTCTGCCGTTCCATCGCCAGTCTGGTCGTTTCCATTTTTCTCAGAAGTATATAACTCCGCTAAAAATCAATTTTATTACATCATTTTCTATTTTGCATACGTGTCCGCACAAAGTAAAATAATAGTAGGTTATGAAAAATACATCGCTTACTCAGAGACAGTTTCTCTACTTCGGGCATTGCAAATAAAATTTAATAAATTAAACTTTATTTAACGAACGAGTTCTCGGTTTGCTGTAGTTCCAGTATAAAAAGATACTCTATGCTGCAGTTATACCGCATACATAATAAATCTTTTTTCACTCACTTTTCAATAAATAGAAAAAAAGAAGAGTACGATTCGTGATTACCACAGACCAAGAAAGAGATACTGCTATTTAGTGGTGTTAAATTAGCGTCCAGCGTGTTAATTAACACGCTTTTTTCTCTTAACGATTAACACTGATAAGTAGATATACGCGAAAGCGCTAAGAATTTCACGCGCTAACACAATTCACGCGTGAAATTCCAAAACGTTTCAATGACCAAACGAACGAACGAAACTAGACTGCGGCTTGCCGCGCAATTAACGCGTGAACGCGATCGTTGTCAGACGTGTCATTGCTAATGCTTGGAGTATGCTAAGTAGGTAATTATTACTCGCTATCCTGTTTCCTGTGTTATAACAAAGCTTACTAAGTCGATATTTCAAATACTTTAGATTGGAAGTGTGATTATATGTTATTCTGGGTATGTTTAAAGAAGTTTATGTAAGTATATAGATTATAAATAAATTGATCCAGGCTTAAAATTATCCGTACCTATACCAAATTTCAACAATATTTTTCATTTGCTTTTGCGTGAAGAAGCAACAGAAAACCAAACGCACTTGTATAACTACCTATACGTATGTTGTTTGTGCGGGTATTTGAGTGCATGTGTCTGTGTCTGTATTGATCCATACACAACATAAACGGTTCTCAAATGAATAAAGCACATTACATTAATTGGCAGGATCGATAGGAGAATCACTGATGAATCGTGAAATTTTTATGATCTACTTTTAAACAATTGTGTTTATAATGTACACTTATATTCCGGATGTTGGAGGCCTGGTGACCTGTAAAACAGGTTTTACAAGTGCAGGCACCAGTCTCCACGATAAATTTGAATGTCCCCGATATATTCTAATCTATACAATTGTACATTTTTTGGTATTGTGGAGAAAAAAAAGAAATATTATTATTATTAATAATATTGTGAGTAAATGTACATAGTAGATTCTTGTATATAAAATCAATGAACTTTTAAATACGCCTATAATGAGTTACAGACAGTCCTATGCGTGAAAAGTATGAAGAGGAGTATATCGATTTTCTTTTAATTTAGTAAGTAATACTATAATTTATTTCGAACTATTTAGACTAAATAATAATGAGTTATTGTTTGATATAGCACGAAATGTATTAAATGTGCAACATAAAATAATTAACGTGTTACAAGGCTTAGCGTGCTACAAAATTTAACGAGTCTTCACGCATCCTTACGCTTCTTTTAATTAACGTGTTAATAAATTAGCGCCTTCATTAACACATAAAAAGATATCATTTGAGCATCTTATACTACTACCATACTACTACTAAGAGCCATATGACAAATTTTCACTCTGTGATTTGAGTTCTCGAGAACTTGTTCAAGGTCACGAGTTCACAATACTGTGTTGAAACCACGTTCAAGCTATTTTGATACTTTTCCCAATTTTTGTATTTATTTTAGTATTTCTATGGTGAGATTCATTATCGATTCCCGAATATTTTAACACGACTGCTTTCGAAAAGGAGTCTATTGTTTTTAGAATTAATGTATGTATGTGAGTATTTTTATTGCACCATAACTTTTGAAAGATATAACGGATATGAATGTATAGGGTATCATTAGAAACATCATCCTAAGTTACCACAAAATACATAGAGTATCAGTGAAACTAGCTTAATTAATTAATATTAAATAGAAATATTTATTTAAAAATTAAAAACACGACTGCTAAGATCGGACAAAATTTAAAAGAAACAAGTTTAGCCAAATCATAGGCTATAAATATAAATAGCGATGACAATATATCAATAAAATTATAAATATTAATTAAAAAATATACGTGCCATATTTTTCGTCGACGATTTCAAAATATTTTCGTCATCCATAGGAAACATGGACTGTTTCCTGTTTGGAAAAGTAGTAAATTAGAATTATATTAAACTAGTTGTGCCCGCGGCTTTATGCGAATGGAAAGTAACCTAAGGTTCTTTTCTCATGGCTAGATGCAATGTTATTCGATATCAATGAACGATATCACACGAATCGCATGCACTTATAAAATATATGGAAAAACTCAAGTGTTTGCTCATGAGATTGTACTATCTGTCAATATCGGTCACAAATCTCATGGTCTGCGGTATCACTTTAAATGTATGAAGATGGTAGAAAGCTCGATCTGCTTTTGACTTTCTGTTCAATAATATCGAGGAACGATTCATTTGCTCAAACTTACCATATCATCAAAATATATTGAATTTTACAAAAAATACAGCAATATCCGTATATAAACAAATAAAAAGCTCGATGGTACCGGATAGCTCGTTTGATCTGCGATTGAGGAGGTTAAGCGACGATTGCAAAGACCGGCAATTGGATGGGAGGTAAATTTTTTTAGTGGAGCGATATAGGACGACCTAGTAATCCGTACTGGGCGCGTGCCCAGTACGGTTTACTTGGTAGATTAATCATTAATTGAAATATATATGCTTTAGCACCACCAATCCGGACTGGCACCTTTATGTGGGCCCAGTGCGGAATTCTGGATGCATTTAAATCAACGATCAATAATATGTGTCTTAACACTACCAATCCTAATTGGTGTGCTGAATGCTACGAGAAATGCTGGTTGGAATAATTTCATCTATTAAGAATATCTGTTCTTTAGCACCACCACACGTGGGTCCAGTCAGAAATGCTGGGTGGATTGACTTGATGCTGAAGTAGTTAACAAGTTTGATCTGCGATTGTAGAGGATAAGCGACGTTTGCAAAGGTCAGTAATCGGATGGGTGACGAAATTTTTTTATACGTTACTAAACAAGTATGCGTTAAAAAGAGAGAAAATACTCGCCATGCCCCGCTCCGCCCCACCACCACCCCTTCAGCTCAGCTAAATTGCTTTTGCGAACGTCGCTTAATCTTCGCAATCGCAGATCAAGCGCTAGAGCGTTTGATAGTTAGTACTAATGGTACACATAGAAAAACAGAAGAGAGCAAACCCGGCCACTTCCGGCAGTGCCTGTCCCACCCCATTCAGTCAAATAAAAGAAGTTGATCACCCGTCCCATTACTGGCCTTTAGGAACTTCGTTTAATCTTTGTAAATGCCTGTTTCATTCCACCCAGCTCAGCAAAATAAAAAAAAAGATCACCCATCCGACTACCGACCCTTGCAAAAGTCGCTTAATCTTAACAATCGCAGATCAAACGTGCAAACTAATTGTAATTATGAACGCGAAACCGTAAACCGACACACTTCATAATTAAAAATAGTCAAATTAAAAATTTAAAAGACCCCCGACAGATTATAATAAAAAAAAAGTAAAAAGCTTAAAAACTCTATTGTATTTTTATCAATCTTGCGTTAATAATATATAATTATTTTTCATATAAAACCCACCATTTTGTTCAATAACTATAAAAGTAATAAAACTGACCATCAAAACAGCGTATACAAAAATGAATCTTCGAGAATTTTCATTCTTTAACAATACACAAAAATCATAAATTAGCAATTTATTTATTTTTTCTTGTTTGTTTAGAGTCCTTCATTTTTGATTAATTTTCTTGCAAGCTGCAATTCAGCTAATATGGTATTATCTTTTTCTAGTTCTTTTAGTTTTTCTACTTTCGTACAAGTATTTCATAGTTATATAATTAGGTATTTATCTTAGGTATTTCAGATCTAGTTTCTAAGATGGGACTCAATTCTATTAAAATAGCTATAACATTGGTCATCCCCACTTTTACTCCCCCCCCTCTTAATTTGAAACTGCTACACCGATTTAAATCTAACTTACCGTATAATAATATAAGTTCAAATTACTTCACGCTTTCAATGGCTACTCTATACTAATATTATGAAGCTGAAGAGTTTGTTTGTTTATTTGCTTGCTTGCTTGAACGCCCTAATCTCAGGAACTACTCGTCCGATTTGAATAATTATTTCAGTGTTAGATTGTGGTAACCCGACATGTGACTGTCTGTACCTATTATATAATTTCGTACTTTTATGATGGCGACCATCTTGGATTTGTAATTTGTCATAGTGTACCTATAGTATTCTATTTCATATCCGTATTGAGGGAGTCATGACAAAATATGTAGGTAATCCAACATTTTGTGGCGGCGGCCATCTTGTATATAAAATTTTGTCATAGTATACGGTCAAGCCCTTTTGTTTGATATCCGTATTGAGGGAGTTGTGACAAAATATGTAGATCATCATCATCATCATCAGCCCTTTTACGTCCCCACTGCAGGGGCTCAGGCCTTCCTTATGGATGGTTAAGGAGGATGGGCCATGACCCTCCACGCTGGCCCAATGCGGATTGGAGGGTATTAACGACTGCAAATGCAGCCGGGACCAACGGCTTAACGTGCCTTCCGAAGCACGGAGTAGCTCGAGATAATAATTTTTTTGGTCACCCATCCCGTGACCGACCCTTGCGAAAGTTGCTTAACGACTACGATCACGGGCCGCGGCGCTAATCCACTACGCCACCGAGCTACTCAATCCAACCTTTTTGGTGGCGACCATCGTGGATTTGAAATTTGTCATAGTTTATAGTATTCTACTACTCAAGCCCTTCATTTGATATCAGTATTGAGGGATTCATGACAATATATAGGTAATCCAACATTTTGTGGCGGCGGCCATCTTGTATATAAAATTTTGTCATAGTGTTCAGTGTCCTACTACTCAAGCCCTTATATTTGAAATCCGTATTGAGGGGGTCGTGACAAAAAATGTAGATAATCCAACATTTTGTGGCGGCGGCCATCTTGTATATAAAATTTTGTCATAGTAAACAGTATTCTACTACTCAAGACCTTTTATTTAATGTCCGTTTTGAGGGAGTCGTGAGAAATATGTAGGTAATCCAACATTTTTGGTGGCGGCCATCTTGGATTTGAAATTTATCATAGTGTTCAGTATTCTACTACTCAAGCCCTCTTATTTGATACCCATATTGATGGAATGGTGATAAAATATGTAATCTGACATTTTGTGGCGGCGGCC